CGGGACTCCGCCAGCCTTACCCCAGGCAGCGCTCTTTCACTCACACCTAACTCCTCCTGTGAGGAATTAAGGATCGATGCAGGTGACTAAAAATTAAGAGATTTTGATTCATTTCCTACAAATGTCAAAGTTTTTGTTAGTAATTCAAGATATCATCATACAGCTAATTTCGAGTTCGTTAATATTGTACATAGCAACAGAGCAACATCTGCCAAATTAACGATTATCGATTCCCGTATCGATTGTTTACGTTAGGATCGGATCAAAGAGTTGAACTGCGCGATGTGCGATGGACGAGACGTGTCATAATGAAGTAATCAAAGTGTACGAGAATTGCAAAAATAGAACAAAACACTTTCCCGCTTTTTATCGCGCGGTAAAAACCGTTGGTTATTTAGCTGTTTGTCTGCTGTTTGAGTTATTTTTGTACATCGGTGAAGAACTTTATTAACAGATACTGTTTTTTTTTTCTGAATCTTACACAAATATCGGTCCTTAATTCTCATAGAAAAAAAAAACTATCTCTAAGAATGAAGAAAAACTTATTTGTATTTTTCCCCAAATTGTTGGAGAGATAGATTCAGCATTGTGTTTTTTAGGTTTGGTTTATTTAAGTCCAGTATTGTTCCAGGTAACTGTCGCAAGAGCGTTGTGTTGCGCTGCGATGATCAGGACTCCGCTTTCCTTCAAGCACCTATGCAGGTTACTTCTGTATATTTCTATCAATACAATCTAAAGAAATCTTGACCTCTTCTTTCCATAGTTCTGATTTAATAGTAAATTAACAGGATGACAGTTCGACATCGCCGTCACCTAACAAACTGCACAAGAGCCCGTGGGGTAAGATGCGAGATATCATCCAGACTCACCGGGAATCTGTGAAGAAGAAGTCTCGTGGTAAAAGCACGGGCGAGGTGCTGCCGGCGCGACGCCGCTCGCTCAGCGACGCCGGTGACAGCGACGCCCCGCCAGCACTCACTATCACCATACCATCGTCCGAGGAACTCGGTAAATTCGTTTTCGTTATCTCAATAATTTAAATTAAAAGTAAGTGACATAAAAGAGGAATTCTGAAACAACGTAGCATATACATTTTTATGTAACGAAATATGATTCAGAGATTTTCTCGAAGGCACATCAAAAGTGTTCACAGAATACACGCGCCGGCGCAATTAACACTACTATATATTTAAATAAACATCGTGTTGTCGTGTTTGGATTAATTTAATGTTATTTACGATTACAAACCTTACAAATCATAAACAACTGCTTACTTTATCAAACACGTCGACGTGCTCTGCATAACTTGTATCCTAGGATTTTTTATAGTGTGTATGATGTTTTTTTTAATATTAATTGCATAATTATTGACTAAATAACGTGGAAATAATTGGGATAAACAGTAGAAGTAAAAAGTTAACATGTTTAATACCATCGACTGCCTTTGTCCAGGCTACCTGGCCAGTTAAAAAACATGGAGGCATGAAATAAGTTAATGAAAATCAAGAAGAAACGTTTCCTTAAAGGCATCAAAGCTGTAGTTTCTCTAGTATTGGTTGTCATTGATCACTTTGGTGTTTTAGCCACTCGTTTGCACCCTTGTTTAATAAAGGAAATTTATAACAGAATCGGAGCCATCCCACCCGGTGCTTCGCAAACAGCGGTCCTTGGAGCTAGGCGCTCGCCCTCAGCAGCGCCCCCCGCGGCGAGCTGTGTCCAAGTGGAGTAAGGTGAAGCGCGCCTTTCTAACCTCCGCCGCCTCCGCCTCCGCCTCCGTGCCGTCCAGCCCAAGCCGGCACTCCGCTTTCTTCACTGATGCAGGTGAGTTACACAAACACCCTATTTGCAATTAAGTATTTGTACTATTTCTACTGAATAATTCTTATACAAATAAACAGTGAAAAATTGGTCTAATTGTTTAGAAAATAGATCACTGAACTATTTAGGGCCTGTCCCACCAAGTTGTAAAACACCAACGTGTAAAACATGTGATGGAAATATCGGAGTTAGTTCCCATATCTAACAGTGAGGTCATTTTTAAGCTATCTGAACCTCTATCAGCCAGTGGTGGGACTGGCCCTTAGTTTAGGAAAATCTACTACAGAAAAGTTTTGTTTCTAACTGAATTTTCATTGTAAATACATGGTTTTAACTAAATGATTCCCGTTTAGACAAAATAATTCCATTGATTAGTATTACATTCCCGCCAAGGCCCGCTCTGACGTCGTTGCATTTTATCGATCCCGGCCGCCACTTAACCGCTTATGAGTAATGTTACCAAAATACAGCCCCGGGAGTAACAAATGGCCAGCTGGATTAACGGGCTATTAGCGCCTGCTCAGTTGACTGACGATGGCGATGACATCTTAAATTGAGATTAAATTCATCCTATTACTTCAAGATTTACGACGCAACTTCAGTTGTAGCAAGTATCAAATGATGATGACGTCACAAGTAACCCGTATTTTAATAGTTGTGAGGATTTAGTAATCGATTGTTGCATTTATAACCAGTTGTTGTTCTGATCAAATTATTGAAATATATCGGTTGTATCGGCAGTACACATACCTTGCATGAGAGCTACTCGTGTAATACATGCTAATTAAGGAAGGGGAACGGTACAGAGCTTGACATTGACACACGTTTGGTAAACTGGCAGACAAGCTACTGTCTTACTGGTATTCTTGTCCTATTATCTAAATTCAGTACGCAAGTTGGAAACAAATGCAGTTTTCCTTCCGTGCACTCCGCGTGTATCGGGGTCAACAGACCGAACGCCCTGAAAACTTCCCGATGTTTATCTCAAAGTCTAATTCTAGATTAGCGTATGATTTTGAGCGAAGCAATACTTGCGATGCATTTTATGACCGATTCTGAGAACCGACATAACTAACGAACCAATCATTCCTGATTTAACTTTGTTCAAAGATTTTTCGTAAACATTTTAATATTATAATCTGATACAAAATAAAGGGTCTTACCGTAAAATCTTAGTGTTTCTGCGTTCTAACTTAAACTTACGTCAACATTTTATACCTTGCCTGGCGGCTGTTGCGGATTTTGGTTTGAAACATTGTCATAAAGCTTGTGAATCGAGGTGTGACACATATTTATGGTAATACAAACATTTACGTCCATAATATCAATCAGCGGAGAGGCCTAATTTAAGTCCCTTTCTCTTTACCACCCTTTTATTATAAGGAGAGGTTGGGAAGAGGAAGTGGATTTGACGGTGGAAGAGATGCATAGGAAGGGGAAATAACCTCGTTATGTGCGTCTCCTCCTCCATCATATAAGGGTAGGCAACGCATCTGCAATTGCGGATGTCTATGGGCAGCGGTCGTTTCGCCATTTTGGCGGTTTCAGGTGACCGCTTGCTCGTTTGACACCTAATGTTGTAAAAAAAGAACAGAGTTAAACGGGTGTTTAACAGTGTCTCACAATTTTAAGGTTATAAAGACACAGTATAAAGTGTATTGTTTTATATAAAACCCGATATCTAAAAATATTTCACTTATTCCTTTGTTCTATAACTAAATATGTGTCAAGGGAACTTAAACAGTTTCTCTCATATCCTGTTCGCTAAGACGGGAAATGCCAAAGGAAATTGCACCAAATCGTCCGTTTTCATTATTAATTTTTCCCCATTTAACAAATAAGTGTATATTTAGTTTGGATAATTTTGAATAAAGTCACGTATAACATTCTCACATCCGGTCGACACCGGAAGTAGCTGCAACCGTATTGCAATCCGTTAACAAAATAACAACAGAGTAAATAATTCTCATTTAATATACATTTAAAAACATTTTCGCACTTATATGACTATTGATGGTCACTGTAAAAACAATATCTTAAACCATAATCTTAAATACAATAACTAAAAGTAAAATACCACCGAAATTTGGCAACAGAAAAGTTTTATTGTTATTCTACAAAGATTTGAAAATACATTTTCCCCAATACTATTTTAATAAAATCTGAAGGAAGACTTTTGACGTCAATATCTCAAGATTTCAATATAACGGAATTTACCTGCAATAAAATCGTTACCCTCATCCCGACATCTCCACACATGTCATGCGCGTCTCTACAAACATTTGGCAACCTATCAACTTTTTTAATTCAAACGCAGTGTAACCGGAAAATTTTTCGAATACCGTACATTCACCCGAGATTTATACGAGAAGATTTACCATAATATGAACAAAACATATATGTTTAGTTCTTTCGTCATTAAGTAGTTGTAATTGTTAGAGGTTATATTCGCTGCCTACTTATCAACAACAAGGGCTTGAATGTTAAAGATATGGAAAAAACTTTACGCCAAGTTGCTATGTCCGTCAAAGGGTAACATTTGCTACAATAGTCAAGTGTCTACGTGCTGCCTACGAACCCAGTGTGCAACTACAGGGTGATGGATTAAAAAGTGAAGGTATAATATATCTAAACATTGCGACTATATTATAAATTGAAAATATGTTTCGAACAGAGAGCGTAACGTAAACACAATGAGAAGTTATTATGTCAACAGATTAAAAAACCTTAACTGTAAAACTGAAATAGGAATTCGAATAGATATAAACAATGCCATTCTCCGACCCAAATATGCTATGGAAAACAGTATTTAATAATTAAAAAGGCCTGTTACACGAGGTGATTTGAGAATTCCGTACCAAAGTAGACTAGCTCGAATTCCAATAGACCTGACTCGTATGATAATCGAACATCTGGCGTCAAAGAATAGCCGAATATTTTGTAGATCAAATCATTTTACACTAACCAGACGTTAATATTAAACAAATACATCAAATTTTCAGTAAGAACCAAAATGTTTGGAAGTCGACAGGAAATAACTCATCCGTTCGCCGTTTGAATAAATTGTGCTAAAACACGCGCTTCGTTTGCTGAAAAACAGGCGAAATTAAAAGTTATATATTCAGGTATGAATTGAGATTATAAAAAAAAAATAAAAAAAAATATATACCGACGAATTGAATACCTCCTTCTTTTGGGAAGTCGGTCAAAAACAGGAAATGTACGGCTGGAACTCATTTCTACAGATTTTGCCGCAAAATAGTCGGTATCAAGTCTTACAATGTACCTTTCTCTTTCTTACTGGATAATCGTGAAATGGATAATCCTCTTGGTCACTCTAAAAAGGCCTGACAGCACAATAAAATTAAGTAATACTATGTCTTAATTTCAGTAAGATCAAATTTAAATCATCAAGTTCGATAGCGGTATAGAATTGTTTTAAATCTTATAATTAAAAAAAATGATGTAGTTGTGTCAAAAATGTCATAAAATTCCATTTATTTATACTCTCAATCAGAGTTGTGTTCGAACTTGGTGTACTAGAAATCAAATAAAGTCAGTTTATATAAATCATTTACTTGAAGTCATAAAAGAAATGTTATAGTTTATCGTCAAGTGATAAAGAGTATCGTAAGAAGTGGTATATAAAACTTGGGTAATATTTAACGTAGTTTCCACTATGAAATAATACAATACCACAATGCAACTAAAGATTTCATTAAAATAATAGAGGATCAGATGAGCGGGCGTAGAACAGCGCGAATTCCGCGCATCAAATGTGAATTTACATTCAACGGCCGCGACATGTTGCCAAATTCCTCGCAACTCGACACTTGTAGTTCAACGTTAGTATTGAAGATAGAACGAAGAACGCAAAGTAAACACCACATTGCGTGAGTTCCATATTACCGACCTCTTTTTAATACATCGAAACATAAATAGTTCGGAGCGAATCGAATCGAGAATAACCTCAATGTAATAAATCATGTTCGACGTCCGTACGCAAAATAATAACACTCCAAAGGCCGTTGAAGGTCATTAAATAAATATAAACACTTCATATCTATAATTTGATCTAAATCTATCAGTTACATGATAGTAAACTGAAGATCTACAGTCAGATAGGGATTTAATTCGAGAATCAGCAGCTATCTAATGCGAAATAAATTAAACACCGTATAATTTTGACAATTTATTTACAACTTAGCTGTAATACCATTTGTTTCATCAAATTCATTTTGCAACTTTATAAACTTTTCTTTCAATTTCTCATCGATCTCTTTCTTTTTACTTTCCTGCACCATTCTGCGAAGTAACTCTTTCATTTCTGACGTATTACTGATGTTCTTGTATTCTATCAAGTCTTCGGGTTTTGTCTTATTATCGATATCGAGTACTGTTGCATTATTATCAGCTATATAATTATTAACATCATCGAAATAACTAGAGTTACCATAAGCACAATATTTGACTTTGGTTATAACATCAAATGCCTCATCTTCTAGAGTTTTAACTACTTCTATGAGGCAAGCTTCATGCATAGCGCCGTGAGCCATCAATTTAGTGAGTTCCACTACACCTTCTATCAGCTTTCCTGTTATTTCCATCATGGAAACTTTTATAATTGGAGACTGAAATAATTTTAAAAATCATATATTTATGGACTCTACTCTCTACTTTTCATTCAGGCAATGAATTGTAAGGTTTTATTTTCAACTTACCTTAGAAATAACACATTTGATGACATTTTTCAACGAGTCATGATCATGGCCGCATACTTTCAGAAGCTGGTCGATCTCAGCTTTCTTAGCGTGTATCTAAAATTAATTATCTTATTGACAACTAACATTAAACGCTACTTAATATTACAACAGTAAAGCGACAACAAAGTTGGTTAAGAAGTAGATCTGAATCACCGATATTTAAAAGGTAGAAAGAGAACATATTTTGGTCTATTTAGTAACACTGATATACTCACCGGCTTAACGCCCTCTCGGATCATGTTCTTAAGGTCAACAACCCTGCTGACAGCATGACTGGGGTCTTGCCCGATCAGCGCGTACCCGCATACCACCATCTGATGCAGTGCTTTCTCCGCCAACGCTGTTGTCTCGTTCTGCTTATCTTTCAAGCATGTATCAACCTGCTTTTAGTTTAATTTTTATATTTAGATGACGTCACAATAGTATGCTTTTATTGTCATTCATATATAGATGATTTTGGAAGAAACAAGAAGTGTGCTACACCAAGCTAGTAGCGTAAAAATTGGAAATCCCTAATCTCTGCTAACTACCCTTGGGGTTACAGGCATGTGTTATGTCCAGTCCAAACAATTTTTGGATTAATAACTTTAGTTATAAGCAATTGACGAACATGATGAACATTTAGTTATTTACCATCATCTATGGTAGTTTCTCTCGTGGTAATAATAAAGAGTACCTGTTCCCCCATCTGCTGCTTCATCAAGTCGAGCATACTCTGCAGCTCCGCAAGGCTGTCCTGGATGTGTGCTGTTCCATTCTGCAGCAATAGTCTGATCTTCACCAGCACGATGTCCACTGATCTGTAGATATAAAACATTGTTGTCAAAAAGTGTTAGTAGAACTATTATCTACAGCTTTGCTGATTCCGTTATACACAGGTTTGACTAAAGAAATAAGAGAAATCACCTCTGTAGATCCACTTGGAACTTCCTCTCGATGCTCTGCAGCAAATCTTCGCTCAGTTTCTGTGTTAGGTCATCTTCTATCACTTTGTCCACTTCATCCTTCGACAGCTCGTTGCTGACGCACTGTCATACACGTCACAATTTACATCGTAATAAAAAATAAAAATGTATATATTCTTATAATTAAAATCGAAGATTGATGAATGCATTAGCTTACAAACCAAATTCCATGTCAGGACAGCACAAAGCAAGATAAGAGAACATCCTTTATCCAACGTCACCATACTGTGAATTAGTTAGCAAAATTGTAAACTTTATTTTCCTGTAAACTTTTTGATAAAAATACTATAAACTTATACTTTTATGTATACATATTTCCTTGACGTTACAAATTGAAATATTGAGCAGTTTATTGGTTTTGTAACGTATAAATATAAGGCAATGAAAAATATCGCAAGACGGTGATATTTTATTGATAATTGTAATAGAAGGAGGTATCGGATTGGTGGGTTCTTTAATAAATAAAAAATGTACTTTTAAATCGTTGTATTATGACGATAAATTTGTGTACAAAAGATTTTAGACAAAAACGTAGACTTTCAGTTCACATTGATGATTTGTTTCTTATTTTCTTCATGGGTTTAAATTCCTGAAAGGAAGGAAATTTAGTAAGAATGCAAGAATTGTATATAGATTTGAAAATACTAATCGAGGATATTTTAAACTCACCGAGGTACCGAAGCACGCATAGTGACATAAATCATCCGGGTCCAGCAGTGCCAATACCTTGTAAATCTAAAACACATATTATTAGAAATTCATCTTCCTTCTTATCCTACTTCCATAGGGTCAGCGCAACAGGCTTTTTTCCTCCACATAACTCTATCATACGTCTTCTCAGTCATCACTCCCATTTTGATTATGTCAACTTTCTAGCAATCCATCCATCTCTAGGTCTACCTCTACCGGTGTATCTCCACATAACTAACGTTCTCATTGTAACATGCAATTCATCCCTCCTTATAACATGCTTATACCATGCTAATATACGTATTGATGAAGACAAAGGACAATTATTCACGAAAAATACCACATATAGCTTAAGTCTACACAAAAATGTAATATATGTATATTTTTGAAGACTTCACATTCGCAGAATTCGAAAAAAAGAACATTAAAAACATGGCCTATGTAGAAAGACTCCGTTATAGTGTATAACCCCAACAGTGAAATAATTTTTGTAGTATTTTGTAATCAAAACAAGAAATCTTACCTCATAGTATAGAAAAATTTAAAATATCTTTACCTTAATTTTAAGTTGATATAAAATATCTAGGAACAGTCGAAATAGATATTGACACATTTCTAATCCTTTTTTCAACACTCTGAAAAAAAAAATTCATTATTCGCCCTAGAATTCCGTCTAAGCTCCTTTAAGTGGATTTTTTTTAATATAGCACTCTCAAAGCCTTTGTTACTCAGGGTTATATTCTAACGGTGAAAGAAGTTTTAATATTAATCCAATAGTTTTTGAATTAATTCGTATAATAACATGAATATTAAAAAAATCTTTATACTATTATTAAAAAATAATACAAACGTACTCAATAAATAATTTATATGCTTCACAAAGATATTCTTTCCCTTGATCAGTATGCAAGGCTAAATACTGTTCCTTAATTGACCTAAAGTGCTTGCAAGGATCTCCTAAAGGACATTGCTGGAAACAGTAAAGTTAAACTGAAATACTATGAAGTATATATCTGTGGGTGAAAGGCTATTTGTTTTAAGCGCCATTATGTTAAATGTTCAGGAGAGCCGTTTGAAGTTTTTATTTTTAGAAAAAAAACAAAAGTAAATCCTGAAAATGATTTTAATTGAAAGATTTTTAGACCGTTTCTAGATTAAAATTATTATAGTTAATTACTTCATTATTTATTTAATATTTAAAATCCGCTGATTCTAAATGTCTATATCTATACTATTATAATAAAGCGAAAACACTCACTTCTTTGCCTAAGATGTCCGAAATTATAACATGGTTTTGAATAATTCTTTTTTTAATAAAAAGCCCTACTCTTACGTCACCCTTTAGGCTATATATTTTCACGCCAGTAAACGTAGGGGGTAAATGTTTTGCATAAAACCCTATTGTGGGAAAGAGACCATAAGTTGCTGCCAACATCAAGGAAGAAAGATTGCTAAGATTAGTCATGTCATGTCATTTTTTCAAATTTGACAAATGTAAACAATTAAATAAAATTTTCATAATTTCATGCGGATGAAGCCGCACGGGAACAGCTAGTGAATATATAAAGTCAAAATCGGCTTAAACGGCGGTTTAAACAAATAGAGTTTCACACGTCGATATTATTTTTAAGTTAGAAATAAAGCCTACGTTACAAGTAGTACAAGATTTCTAGCGCCAAACGAGTTTTTAAAATCGGTTTAGTAGTTTTTGAGTTTATTCGTAACATACAAAATTTTTTTCCTTTTATAATTTTAGTAGTAGGTGTCTAACCGCTACATTCAGCGGCGTGTCAAATAGGGAGACATTGTCGACTATGAGTACAGAAGTAAATAAAACATAAGAAAACTTACGAACAAAAATCCAAAGAGAAGTGTCAATAAAATAAATGTAGCATATGTAGATGTTTTCAGGTGTTCTAGAAAATATAAAAGTTAACCAAGTAAAAATAATAGATGTCGCTACTTTGACTGTATAAACGAATTTAATGCACAAAACTTGGGAGTCAATTGCGCTAAAAATTCGCAAGTAGGCTTAAACTTTTTAATTTATAATCAGAAATTAGCAAATATTAGCGGTTTTAAGTAATCTTTTATAAACAAACTGCAAAATAATGTGATCATCATCCACTTGCCCTTATCCCTTACGGAGGGTTAGCACAGTATGTGCTGCTCTTCCATACATCTCTATCAGCCGTCTTATCTGAATCCACTTCTTTCTTAAGCATATCCTCTTTCACACAATCCATACATACTTTCCTTGGTCTTCCTCTACCTTTGTAGCCATCCATATTCAATCTTAACATTTTCTGGTTTATGTCCTCATCGTCTCGTCGCATAACATGTCCATACCACGCTAACCTCTTAATGTGATATAACTACAAAATAGTTACCGTGTTTAGTTTTCAAAGTTCGTCTTCCCTTTGGCATCGATTGCTCCATTACATCAACGAAAATATATCAATACAAGATTGTTGAATTTTAAGCATTTTGATAAATTACGCTTAAATCAATTTAAAAAGGCTACATAAAATCTAATTCTATCTTCAATCAAAATTGACAACTAAATCTGGGAAATGTAATTTTTAAATGTCATATTTAATGGCCTTAAAAAGTTTAAAATCATTTAGATGTCATAAAAACATTGATCTCACTAGATGGACAGGTTAAATCAATTGCAGTTTAAATATTACGCCTTAGACATGTCGGTTGAAATTCCCGTTATTAGTTCGAATTCTCACCACCGCCAGTAACCGCAACAATCAGCGCCCAAATGGCAAAAATCAAATAAGCACTATATGCCACAGCTTGTAGCCTATTAGATGTCAGTATATTTAGATGTAGGCAAATTACGATATTACTAATAAATAAAGTATGCTAAGGGCTTCTCTTTTAACTCTTACTGCGTCTGAGTCGCTAGCTCTTGAATATCAATCTCAATAAAACTAAATAAACAGTTGAAAATTCGTTTATTCTCTTCTAGAACGTTCTGCAGGACATCTGCCGATACAGGTCAGACCTTTCTCGGCGCAGGCGGGGCAATCGGTGCCCGGGATATTGTCGTACTCGGACCTATCAGCGTCATCTCTGTCATTCCCAGCGCTGGTTCTTGGCTCTGTTCTGTCATCGTCTCTCCGCATTGACACCTCTTGTTTAGATATCGGCTTATTCCTGATTTTAATTTTTGGATCGATGGGTGCGGTGAGCTAGGGATATAAGATTTAAGTTAATGGAGGAAATTCTTTTGTTAATCAAAGTCAGATAAATCTAGACTCACACAAACTGTCGCTTATTTATTAATAAATGTGAAAGTTTTTTATTTTTGGATGGATGTTCGTATATTTATATTCTAAACAGCTGAACGTATCTCAATGAAATTTGGTAGATGTAGAGCATAATCTAGAAGGATATAGGATTTGGCTACTAAATATTTTTTTTAATCCCGCTCTAACGAGCCACAAGCCACATTTATTTTTGATATATTTTAGAATTTATGTTTCATAGACAGGTTACCTGCAACGTTCTGCCTGTCTCTTGATTTTGCATCAAAATGTACAGAAATCTGTCATACATATCGACCGTCTGCAAATAATATAACATGTAAATATCTTAGTTTAAAAAAGATTATAACATCGCGAAGATAATAGAAATATAACTTAAATTTACCATTTCTATAAAATCGTAGTAAGCTTGAAAAATCACAGCCACCACGAAGGCGTATGTTCTTGTAATGGGCTTGCAGGTACTGAAGTGAAATAGAAAGAGGTAAGATAAGTTTTAGTTGAAGATTTTTTAATTCCAAGTGAACGGAGTCGAAGAAAAAAGATAGTAATCATTTAAACTAGCCGTCGTCCAAGCTTGACGACAGAATCATACTAATATCATAAATGCGAAAGTTTCTATGGATGGATGGATGTTTGTTAGACTTCGTAACCTAAACTGCTGAACAGATTTCGATGAGATTTGGTAAAGGGTAGTCTGGAAGAACAGAGAGGCTACTCACTTTTGTTTTTTTTTTAATTCCACGCGCACGGAGTCGCGGGAAAATGCTAGTATAGAACATAAGGGGGTTTACATAGCATAATTACTGTTGAAGTTACTAACTCTATGACAGTTTCAACAACCGCGCAGGGACAGGACTCGCAGACGCAGCTCTGGTGTAGGGCGACAGGGTGGCTACTGCCGGGGTCCTCGCCGCCTTCCGCGCCCCCTTCGCCCCCTGTCACCACTGTATACACCTGCTTGCGCAGGCGCCGGCAGCGTAGCCGGCATGTGTTGCACCATACCTCCTGTAGGCCCGCAGCCGTGTTCGCGAACAGTCGGTCATCTCTTGACTGCAAACATTGCACCCGTAATCATTAAAGAAGTCCCTTAGTGGAGTCTGTAGTCTGAGTGCGGTATCAACATTAAGCAACTGTTTAGACTCTACGTAAAGGGCATGCGTTCCTATGCGTTAGATAGTTATGAAAAGTAATATGAGAAGTAAGCCGGTAGTGTAAATTATTTGAAATGCATTGCACTACTCATATAGTTATGTTATAAACTTACATATGCATATAGTATACAAGTTATTAAGAAGATGAGTAAAATGTATTCGAGCATTAGTGTGTTGCCGTCACTTCCATCTGCAATAAAAAATAATGTTAAGTTTTTATAAACCAGATATAACCTACCACTATACAATTCACAATTTGTTTCACCAGTAATAAAATGCTTACAATATTTATTTGGACGTTTCAAGAACGTTGATTTTTATTGGTAACATTATTGGTTTGTTTAGAATAAATTAATGTAACATATTTACATTATTTGACAAAATTGACATCTGCAGACATTCCTAGTGACTTCAAAAATGCATCGATTTATCGATATTTCATACAAAGCCCTTATAAAAAAGTTTTTTATTATTTTGTCAAAATCAACATTCGATACAGTCTAATTTCTTTGCATTAAACGTATACCAATCCTTTCTTAATTGTAGATGTTATTCAAATTCTTTTGCAGTATTTATTTCCTTTCGAACTAAATGTTTTTTTTTGGTACGTTCGACTTTCAGAGACAGAGGGCGTGAGCAGCGGCTGCGAGGCGAGCGGGGTGCGCGAAGAGATTGCCCGCGACTACGCCGCGCTGCAGTCACGTTTACGACGGGAGTTCTCCGACAGGCAGGGAAAGCTTCATGCTAGTAAGTCCACACCAACATTTGACTATGTTTTTCTGACTTTAATTACATCACTAAAAATTGTAACGCGTCTTCTCCTGTTTCATAGCTTCTAGGCCAGTGACCACGCGGCCAGTGGCCACAGAGGAGCAGCTCTCGGCGGACTTTCGCAAGAAGCTGGCCGAGTGGCAGCGTCTGCGCGGCGGCCGACAGCCCCCACCCGTCCCCGCCCGACAGGACCTCAGCGAGGACTTCCTAAAGAAATGGGGTAGGCAGACACACTACGTCTTTTTATGTTTTCACGACCAAGAAGTATGGTGATAATCGTTTCTTTTCTTCTTCTACTACAGATGAATGGAAACATATGAAAGAGACCAACTCGGTACCAGCCTGGGAAGAGGAAGCAAAACCCGATGAAGTCCTTGTGCAAACATCTACTGGCTTATTCAAGTTTCAAGGTATGTGTTTTCAAAAACAATATAAAACTACATTATCATTGTTAAGTACATTATTTGTTACACTTATATTTTGCAGGCATATCCCGTTCGTTCACCCGCAAGCTGCACGAGTGGGAGAAGTCGCGTGGCATCGCGCCCGAGGCGTCAACGTCAGCGCTGCTTCGCGCTGCCCGACAGCGCAG